TCAAAAATAATGAAGATAGAATATCTCACAATCAACCTGTGGCCCACAAAATTCAAGGCCTATTGACAGTCAGTAAAAATCCTTGAGAGCAGAGACCCGTCTTTCTCCTCTGTATTGCCAGACCATTTTGTGCACATAACAGTGCACAATGAGAGCTCATTAAAAAATATTTGGCTATTAGAACAATGGTCCTGGGTCTCAAGAGATTCTTTCACCCTACTAGATATTGGGCACAATTCTAGAAACAAAGAAAAACTAACAAGCCATTCTTCTTAAAACACATAGTTTGGAAAAGAGACAGATGGAGAGTTAGGTGAAGCAGACCTAAGCAGACCACTGTGACAGTTCTGTTATCCCTGAACCCTAAAATTTCTTTTTTATTCTAAATTCTGAATGGTTCTGGTTGTTTGCTTTATATTTTTCTGCTTGGTCAGGAAAGGAAATCCACTATAACGTATCTCTCTTCTGAAAATCTAATGCTCACATTTAGCCAAGAATTTTGGGGATTTTCTTTCTTCTTCTTTTTTTTTTTTGAGATGGAGTCTTGCTCTGTCGCCCAGGCTGAAGTACAGTGGCGTGATCTCGGCTCACTGCAGCCTCTGCCTCCCAGGTTCAAGCGCTTCTCAGGCCTCAGCCTCCCGAGTAGCTGGGATTACAGGCCTGCACCACAACACCAAGCTAATTTTGGTTTTTGTTTTTGTTTTTTTGAGATGGAGTCTTACTCTGTCACCAGGATGGAGTGCAGTGGCACGATTTTGGCTCACTGCAACCTCCACCTCCTGGGTTCAGGCGATTCTCCTGCCTCAGCCTCCTGAGTAGCTGAGACCACAGGCACACGTGCCACCACGCCCAGTTTATTTTTGTATTTTTAGTAGAGACAAGGTTTCACCATGTTGGCCAGGATGGTCTCGATCTCTTGACCTCATGATCTGCCCGCCTCGGCCTCCCAAAGTGCTGGGATTACAGACATGAGCAATCGCACTCGGTCTAATTTTTGTATTTTTAGTAAAGATAGGGTTTCACCATGTTGGGCAGGCTAGTCTCGCTCTCCTGGTCTCAAGTGATCCGCCTGCCTTGACTTCCCAAAGTGCTGGGATTACAGGCATGAGCCACTGAGCACTACCCCTATGTTGAGTTTCAAAAGTTGTATTGCTTTTGACATTCCTTCAACAACACGCCTAAGTTCTGCTACCTGCTGCTGCTGGGCTGGTGATCTGAAAGAACAAGACCAGAATTCATGCCTTCATGAAACTACATTCTGGATGTGGCCATCTTCCTCAAATAAACAGTATTACACATCATGTGTGGTACCATGAAAGAAATAGGGCATTTTGACAGCAAATAATGAATGGGGGAAAAGATGGAGGTGGGAACCTATCTTACTGAGGGAGGTCAGGAAAGGCCTCACCGAAGAAGTGGACTTTAAGTTGAATGGTGAAAGACAAGGTATCAAACAGGAGGAAAAGTGTTCCAGGCAGAAGAAACGGCAAGGAAAAAGCCCCATTGGTGGAAGTTTCATGTGACTGAGGATTTGAGAGAAGGCCTATAACTGTGGAGCAGTGAAAAAGAGGGAGCACAGGGATGAACTTATTTGAGTGCTTAATACATTCTAGGCATCATGGTAAACACTTTAAATGCATGCTCTTAGGTAATCACTACCAGAAACCTATGGAGTTAGATACCCTGCCAATTTCAAAATGAAATAAACATGAAGTTAAGAAACTTGCTCAGGGCCAGACATGGTGGCTCATGCCTGTAATCCCAGCACATGGGGAGGCCGGGGCTGGCGGATGGCTTGAGCTCTGGAGTCCAAGATCGGCCTGGGCAACATGGCAAAACCCTGTCTCCACAAAAAATACAAAAAAACTAGTTAGGCGTGTTGATGCACGCCTGTAGTCCCAGACACCAGGGAGGTTGAGACAGGAGAATCCCTTGAGCCCAGGGAAGTCAAAGCTGCAGTGAGCTGTGATCTTGCCACTGCACTGCCTGGGTGACAGGGTGAGACCCTGCCCCCTCCCCCGTCAAAAAAACTTCCTCAAACTCACATAGCAGCCAGGCTCATATCTGTAATCCTAACACTTTGGGAGGCTGAGACAGGAGGATGGCTCAGCCCACAAGTTCGAGATCGACCTGGACAACACAGGGAGACCTTGTCTCTACAAAAAATTTAAAAATTAGCCAGGTGTGGTGGTGCATGCCTGTAGTCCCACCTACTCAAAGGTTAAGATGGGAGGATTGCTCGAGCCCAGGAGTTTGAGGTTGCAGTATGCCATGATTGTGCCAGTGCACTCCGGCCTGGGTGACAGAGCAAGACCCTGTCTCAAAAAAAAAAAAAAAGAAAGAAATCACATAGCAAGTGGTGGAGCTTGGACTCAATTCAAGGGAGCATGAGTCCAAAGCCCACATTTTAAACTCAACCTCAGAGTCTAAGTTACAGAGGCAAACAGTAGCCAAATCACAGGAGGCTTCATATGCCATAATAAGGAGCTTGGATTTTATTTTAAATGCAATGGGAGCCAATGAGAGGTTTAAGCAAAACAGTGACATCTTATTTACATTTCTATTGTGGCTTATTTACATTTCTATTGTGTTTGGAGACCAGAGGCAAGGTAGGGAAGAGTTCTCTGAGTAAAAGAAGGGAGATCACTAAGTAGTCAGGAGAGAAAAGATGGTGGTCTGAACTAAAAGTTAGATAGATTCAAGACATATTTTGACATCAAAATGAATTAGACTTGCTAATTATTTGGATGCAGAGAGTAAGAGAAAAAGAAAAGTCTAGGATAACTCCCAGGTTTCTGGCTTTAGTAACAAATAGATCATGATGAATAATACTGAAATGGTCTAGAAACTGAGTTTGGGAAAGAGCGCCAGAGTCAGTTCAATCATTTCATAAATCTTTATTGAGCTTCTACTATGTGAGAACACAACAGTGTATAAAAGAGAAAAACTCTTACCCTCATAGAGCTTGTATCACTGGGTGGGGGGCAGTTAGACAAATTAACATGCACAACCATCCAATGATGATAAGTGTTATAGAAAAGAAAAGATAATAAAGCTGGTTAAATAGGCAAGAGGTTAGCATTTTAATAGAAGGATCAGAAAGATACTCTCTAAGGTATGAGCAAGCACCAAAAAAAAAAAAAAAAAAAAAAAGGGAGGCAGCCCTGAGGATTTCTGATAGAGAAAGAGTTCCTGGCTGTCTAAATACCACTGCAAAGGTCCTGAGGAAGGAGTGTTCTTGGTATGTCTGAGGACAGACAGGGAGGCCACAGTGGCACAGCAGATTAGTTAAGAGAGAAAATAATAGGAGATTAAATCAGAGGAACAGATAATATAGAACTTTGGTTAAAGACTCCAGCTTTTACTTTGGGTAAAGCGAAAAACCACTGGAAGATCTGAACAGAAATGGAGGAGTAGCATAACACTGGCTGCAACATGGAAATTGCATAAAAGGGGAGCAAGGATGGAAACAGAGACATAACAGGAAATAACCTTTTGTCTCTGGTAGATCGTACCAGGTGATGGTGAAAGGGTCAGATTTAAGATAAGTTGTGAAGAGTAGATGGGATTTGTTGATGGGGCTAAATAGAGTCGGGTTAAGAGAGGAGTCAAGGAGAACTGAAAGGTTTTTTGGCCTGAACCAAACGAACAATGAGATTGACATTTACTGGGTTGGGATGAGCATGGGAAAAGAGATTTATGATGGAAAATGAGGAGTTCAGTTTGCCATATTAAAATGAAGATATCTATTACAAATCTAAATATTGATGTTGACAAGGCAGCTGTTTTCTGGACTTCAGAGAAGTCTAGGTTGCAGATGCAAGTCTGGCAGTCTTAAGCACATAGATGATATTTAAATTATGTGAACAGATATAGTAAAACGTGTAGACAGACAAGAAGGTCCAGAACTAAATCCTCAATTAAATCCATCAGTTAGACATTTCCATCTCATATCCAGTATTTTAATAACTGGTTTAATTTTTAAAGCTATCACTTACTACATTAAGCAGTTTCTAAATCAAGAGCACCAATGAGACACAGCAACAAACTAAAAAAGAGTTTGTCATTCAAATCTCCTCAAAAGAGAAAGAAAAGAACTCCATCCACGGTCACAGAAATACTAAGAACTCAAAACATTCCCAAATATAGAGGATATAGTATCTAGTGGTTAAATGCGGGTACATAGGTCCAAGCTGTCCGAATTTTAATTCTTGTTCCTACACTCATTTGTGTGACCTAGGGCAAAGCACTTACTGTGCAGCTTCCTAGTAAGTTGGGGATAAGTTATTGGGTTGCTGCTAATGAATTAATACCTGAATTTTTGTGCTCAGAATGCTAGCTATCTTACTATCATTGACACTAAGTTGTTGAAACAGAAGTTGAGAGTGGGAGACCCTGCAGCTAATCACACTAATTTTTCAATTTTCTTAACCAAGAACTTGTAGCTCTCTGTTTAGATTTCCAAATGGAACCAAAACATGTTCCTAAAAGCAATTCTCTTAGCTAAAAGCATGCAGCTCTCAATCTGAATTTTAAAACAAGGCCAAAACACTTTCACAAATTCTTAAGAATCCAAAATAATCTTTAGAGGCAGGGAGGGGAAAGGGGAGTTAACAGCAAGCCCCAATTCACACATTAGAGTATGTCTGATAACAAAGTCCATCTGTGACAGACTACCAGGCCCAAATGCCTCTAAAGCAGTTATTTGATTCTCTTCTACTCTCTTCTCTAGAGAATGAGTATAAATGTACTTTAAAAAATAGAAAGCCAAGCTTTTGAATGGGAGCACATACAGCAAAGAGCTGGGAATCCAAGTCAATGGCAGCTACAGGGGAAAACTTCTCCAGAGAGTCACCACTTACTCCTTTTTTCCCCAGTGGCCAAGAGCACCGTGGGGTCAAACTCCTCTTGGGTGGGTGATGGGGAAACGGCGACCTTCCCTCATCTGGCCCCTACGCTGTCCTCCGGTAGCAAAGCTCCGGTGCAGAGCAGTTAGCTACACTCCCTCTCTCTCCCTCCTCTCGCCGGGATCTCGTGCCGGGACGGGGAGCCCCAGGTTCCAGCCTTTGGCCGCCTGGCTGGAGGAGACACAGCAGAAGAAACAATAGGGCCGTGGCGGCCGCCGTACCTCTCCCTGTCGCGGCCGTCGAAGTAGACGAAATCGCCGCTCTGAACGCATTTGGCGCAGGTCAGCCGCCGGCGGGTAGTGTTGCACAGCGGACAGCGCTCCACAGCCACGTACAGCCCCTCCGCGTCGTCCACAGAGTCCACCAGGTCCCGGGCGAGCGGCCGGGGCCCGCACCCAGGAGCCTCCGGCGCCCGGGGTCCCTTCCCACTGGGAGACGCCATGATGGCCTGAGAGGAGAGCCAGTCACGTGGGATTTTGTTTTCAACCGGGTGCATTCTGGGCCAGGAGGAGGGGCCTGGGGGAGGCGGGCTGGGATCCCGGCGACCCCCCGGACCCCTCTCCCCGCGCGGGTGCTTGTCCCAGGCGCTGTTGTTTTTCCGGTCTGCTGAGGGGCAACAGGTCCCGAAGCAAGGGGAGAGTTATATTAGAGGGGCTAGTCTGCCAAACAAAATGTCATCATCTGCTGGCTCAGGCCAAGACCATGAGTTACAGCCTCAAACTTGTGCAGAAAATTGTAATACCATACCCTAAGGATTCTGGGTAAACGGAATGGGAGCGGAATAAGGGAATTTAACTTGCTGTGGATGCTTTAAAATCTGGCTAAAACTACAGCAAACAAAGTAGGGTGAAGGGGCTGGGTCTTGGAACTAGGTTGAATTTTGGCTCACTTACCTACTTAATAGCTGTGTGACTTGGGGCAAGTTCCTTAATCTTTGCGCCTGTTTTCTCGTGTTAAATGGAATTATGGTACCTATCTAATGCAGTGAGGATTAATATGGTTAATAGTATTATACTTTACCAATAGTGAAAACAACCAAAGTGAACGTGCAAAATCAGAATTGTATCTTTCTGAAAAGTTAATCACGTGGCTAACGTACCTTCCCTATCCTGGGGCATGCTCTAAGAGAATTTGAACTAGGTAGGTGGTTAGGACTTCCCTTCAAGTTTCTTTTGGGGGATAGGGGATATATAAGATGATGTGTTGGGAGGATCATATCAGAGTAATTAGTGTTTGAATATGCCTCTAAACTACAGAGAAGAGTGGGTTTATAGGTCAGATTAAATAGACCAGTGATTTTCAAGGATTTTACTAGGCTATCCACTGATAAACTGCCCTGAATTCTCTCTCTAGCCAGGATTCCTTTCTCAAGTTCCATACCTAAAGATCCAGAACTGCTTACTAGGTATCAAGTGGCATTCCAGGACACCACAAACTCAGATTGTTGGAAACTGACCTCTACCTCCCTACAAACCTGTTTTCTTACTTTGGTGAAGGACGTAATCACTGATGATTTACAGCTAAGAGCCATGATTCATATCAGCCCGTCCCTCCGTGTTAATCTCCACATCACCGTCAAATGCTGGGGATTCTACAAGCTAATTCGGTCTTGAATCTGAGCCCTTTGCCCCTCCGTCTTCTTAATCTTACCCAGTCTTTTTAAATACAAATCACGTAGGATTACAAAATCAAGCAAAAGCAAAAATTCTCTAATTTTCAGAATGGAGTTTACACTAAACTTGAATGGTTCCTGAAAACTTAAGATTTATTTTTAAGTGAGAAGTCTTTCTCTCTGATCATTTCAAACGAAAGGATTATTTTTTAAGGTCTCAGGCTTATGTTTAATTTGTATTCAGACAGGATCCTTCACAGTGCTTAGTACCTAATGATCAGGATCAACTGTTCAATATTTTAAAAGGCAAAAAATACACATTAATTCCTATCCTGGTAGATGATATCACAGTATTTAGCTTATGCAGTTATTTGAAACTCCTATATATGGCTATGTATTTTCAGAGAACGCGTATTAATGTATTACTTAACAGCAGAGTACTGAGGTTTTTGGATACAAAATGTAGTTTAAATATTTCAAGGGAGGGGGGCGCCACACTTCTCAATGAAGAGAAACATTTGTACAGTTCAGAATTTTGTTTGACACCTATTACGCCATGAACTCATAGGGAATAGGTTCCAGCAGCCCAGGCTCCTCTCCATTGGTTCTCACAAAGTACTTCTCTGGGTGGAGCAGGCTGGCACTTCAATTGAACTCAGACACCTCTCCCTTTGACGTCTTTTTCCGATCATTTACCTTCACGCGTTTCAGGAAACTTACTTGGCTCTTAGAGTGCTTCGTATGCTCAGTAGACACATTCATTCCCTTGGCAAAAATCTTGCCCTTGTTTACAACAATGCCAACAGCATGCTGGGTAACACTGTAGACTCTTCCAGCTTTGCTGTGGTAACATTTGCGAGGCACTCCTTTCTTGGAAAGCACCCATTCCCTTGATGTCTACATTATCACCTTTTTCGTAGATTCGCGTGTATGTGGCCAAAGGAACAATTCCATATTTTCTAAAAGGCCTAGAGAACATGTATCAGGTGCCTCACATCTTTCCCTTTGTATTCGTTATTTATGGCAAATTACTGGAAGATGGCCCTTCCGGCTAAAAGGAAACGCGTTGAGTCTTAATGATGCTACAGTATCATTCTAGTGAGACCCTAAATCTCTCAAATTTTGAAATGTTTACTTGCTCAGTTTTTAAAATAACACAGGAGTCATTTTGAATACAAATTTTTCTTCGTTTCTTAGACAGGTTTACTTACACAGAATCACCCTTTAATAAGTAATGTACTTGGAACATCTACAATTAAAGGTAGAAGAATCCAGCTGTTTCTGTGCTGGGCTTATGGACATATTCAGACCAGAATAATGTGAGATGTTGAATGATATGCTCAGGCTTTTTTAAAACCTTTTAGAATAGGATAGATGTTTTCAAATGCTTCATAGATCTCAGAGCGTTCTTTGGCACCTATAAAGAAATCCAGGTTTACATAATTTTTAATATAAAAAATACCAAAATTTAAACACTAAAATTTCATTGTATTGTCTCCAATTACTTTTAATATGACATCTCTTTAGCTGTACCTGAGAAATGGCATTTATTTCAGGTAAATAATTTGGCAACTACAGCCATATTTCCACAAGACACAAACCTTAGAGCAGAGTTTTCTAGAACTTCTCTGTGGCTGTCATCTTTGCTCACACAGTGCTCAGTGTGAAATGTGGAATGTTATCTCTACGTGTGCCATGAATGTGGCCTCAGAGTAATTTCATCAGCACCTGCGGGCACTTAGCTACCAGCAAAAGGGACTTCCTTTGACCCACCTCCTCTCTAGTTAACATCTTGATTCCCTAATATTGACTAACAGATTGAGACAAATGAGCTTTAAATTTGTTTTACATTTTAGTTTTAAATTTAAAAAAGTTTTAAATTTTAAGTTTAAAAGGGTTTTAAATTTTAGTGCATGGGAAGGATTAGAGGGGAAAACTGTACTACTGTCACTTGTAAAGTCTTGGGTTTCAAGAAATTGTAAACCATAACTGCTCTAGGAATTACAGGGATAAAAACATGAATCAGACAGTCTCCACTCTTGAGAAATATTAGTCAGTCCCTACTCATCTCTCACCACCACCAACTAAACACCACCACTACCTCCACCTTCCAAATTATGCAGGCACGTTGTGCTAAGGGTCGTGGACTGATACTACTTATGTTTATATGGCGCTTCAGCTAATCAGGACACTAATCAGCTAATCTGATATTTTGTGGGCTGGAGGCAAGGAAGGAAGAAAGGAGGATAATGAAAGGACTAACAACTATTAGCATGAAGAGAAAGGGAAAATAGCTTTAGTTGATAAAGACTCTTAAGAACTATAAAGTACATTGCTGATAGGAACATGAAATGGATCAGCTACTGTGGAAAATAGTTCAGTGATTCTTTAAGTTAAATAATTACTACATGACCCAACAATTTCATGCCTTGGTAAATACTCCCCAAATTGAAAACAGGTACTCAAAAAAATACGCACTTTCATTGCAGCACCATTCACAATTGTCAAAAGGTGGAAACAGCTTAAATGCCCATCAATGGATGGATAACAATTTATAGTGTAGGTGGGGCGTGGTGGCTCACACCTGTAAAAGGGAGGCCCAGGCAGGTGGATCACCTGAGGTCAGGAGCTCAAGACCAGCCTGACAAGATGGCGAAACCCTGTCTCTACTAAAAATACAAAAGAAAATTAGGCGTGGTGGCAGGCGTCTGTAATCCTAGCTATTTGGGAGGCTGAGGCAGGAGAATTGCTTGAACTTGGGAGGCAGGGGTTGCAGTGAGCAGAGCTCATGCCATTACACTCCAGCCTGGGTGACAAAGCCAGACTCTGTCTCAAAATGAAACAAAAATGTATAGTGTATATATACAATAGAATATTACTCAGCCATAAAAAGAAATGAAGTACACATGCTACAACATATAGCATGTTTCTTAGGCTCATCTAAGTGAAAAGCCAGACACAAAAAGACACATAAGATTCTATGTATAAGAAATATCCAGGCCGGGCGCGGTGGCTCAAGCCTGTAATCCCAGCACTTTGGGAGGCCGAGACGGGCGGATCATGAGGTCAGGAGATCGAGACCATCCTGGCTAACACGGTGAAACCCCGTCTCTACTAAAAAAATACAAAAAACTAGCCGGGTGAGGTGGCAGGCGCCTGTAGTCCCAGCTACTCGGGAGGCTGAGGCAGGAGAATGGCGTAAACCCGGGAGGCGGAGCTGGCAGTGAGCTGAGATCCGGCCACTGTACTCCAGCCTGGGCAACAGAGCGAGACTCCGTCTCAAAAAAAAAAAAAAAAAAAAAAAAAAAAAGAAATATCCAGGGAGAGGGGAACGAGGGGAACGGTTTAATGATATCAGGTTTTATTTTGGAGCAATGGAAATGTTTTAGAACTAGGTAGAGCTGGTCATATATTCACAATACACAACCAGCTACTAAATACCACTGAACTGTTCACTTTAAAATGGTTAAATTTGTTATGTGCATTCACCTTAAAGATTAAATAATCAGGGATGAAGTCCTTATAAGCTTAATTTTTTTAGAAGTAAGGGCAGGCAGGCCGGGCGCGGTGGCTCACGCCTGTAATCCCAGCACTTTGGAAGGCCGAGACAGGCGGATCATGAGGTCAGGAGATCGAGACCATCCTGGCTAACACGGTGAAACTCCGTCTCTACTAAAAAATACAAAAAAACTAGCTGGGCGAGGTGGCGGGCCGCCTGTAGTCCCAGCTACTCGGGAGGCTGAGGCAGGAGAATGGCATAAACCCGGGAGGCGGAGCTTGCAGTGAGCTGAGATCCGGCCACTGCACTCCAGCCTGGGCGATAGAGCGAGACTCCCG